CTCGCAGCCCACGCCGTGAGGCGCTGCTGTCAGCGGGGTTTATCACCGCCGTATCCACCCCACACTGGCCGCCGAGGGGCCCGGCGGGCTGAGGCGCGCGAGGCGGCTTTCGCTCCCGCGGGGCGGCTCTACCCGTCTCAGCACGGCGTCCCGAGGTGTAGCCGTGTACCTGGCGGCAGGGCCATCACTCACACGCCTACTCGCGGCACAAGGGAAGGCGTGACGCGATCGCGAGAGGCGAGATGGGTGATGGCGAGACTGTCGTTTGGCCAGTTTGAGGCTGAAAGGATGACCGCGGACGATGAGGGCGACGATTCATCGCGGCTACTGAGCAGGCAAGGTCCGGACCTACAGGATGGAGGGGCGAGTAGTGAGACTCGGGACCATATCTTCGCGTCGAGAGACGAAAATCCGGATTTTTGGCCGCCAGCCGCCGCCGGCCGCCGAGCGGACACTAGGGAACTGCGCGACGACGACGACATTTCAGAGGTGGAGCGATCACCACCGCCCTTCTGGTGGTGTTTGCCGGTCGGGGGGGCGTCGGCAGCACCGCCGTTCCGCGCGGATGTTGCAAACGGTGGCTCGGGGCGCCTATTTCGGCAGCCCCGGGGCGGGAGCCGAGGAGGGGCAGCCGTTGCGGTGGCGCCATTGCAGCTCGGCGGCGCGTGGGGAGCCGAGCGGCTCCCAGCGATCCCGCGAGAGAAGGGCCCGCATCCGTCACGGATGCCGCGCCCACGCTGCCCGACGCAAGGCGCCAGATGGGAGAGGAGGTGGCAGCCTTTCTGCGCTTCGAGGTGCAAGAGAACTTTTGCGGCATTTAGCGGGTTGGCGAAATGGGGGCGGCAGACAGCAGACGGCAGACGGCAGACGGCAACCGGCAGACGGCAGCCGGCAGACGGCAGCCGGCAGACGGCAGACGGCAGACGGCAGACGGCCTACGGCTCGGCTGGGCGCGCGCGCACGCGCACGCGCGCACGTCGCGCGCCACGCGTCGCTCCGCGAGGGCGCGCGCCGACCACAATCGAACCGGGGCCAAAAGGCGCCTGGAGCGAACCGCGGTCCGGTCGCGCCACCGCGGCTGCGGGGTTGATAGAGCAGGCCGGCTGCGGCTCCTGATGTACCTCCGCTTTTGGGTGGCGGTCGCGCGCTGCCGACGGCGCTCGCCGGCGTTCGCGGCGCCGCGGCGCGCTCGTGGCGTTCAGGGCGGCTCGCACACACACACACACACACACACACACACACACACACACACACACACACACACACACACACACATGCATGCATGCATGCACAGACACACAGCCCCTTCCCCTCCCCCTCAAGACCTTCCCAAGGGCGAGGACACACACAGGCCGCACCTCTAGTGAGGCCCGCATAGTATGTGGGAGACTCGTGCCGCCGCCCCTGCCACCCCTGTGTCAGTGTGCCTGTGGTAGCGAGAGACTGCCAGCGAGAAGCTGGAGGCAGGTCGCTAGACTGAGATGAGACCGCCAGTGGAGTTGGGAGTCCACCGTGCACCGCGCTGCGAGCCTGTCGTGTCCCTTGTCAGGAGCAGGAGAGCCCCACCTGTCCCCCTGATCGTCCAAAATCCTGCTCGTGCAGGTGGGGACCCTGTCCTCCTCCCCTATCCCTCGTTTGGGCTGTCTGTTTTCTTTCTTTCTTTCTCTTGAAATGGGGGCGATATACACGCCCCCAATGTGGCAAAATGTGTAGCCGCGGGGGTCGTATTATTTGAGGGTTTTGACGGGGGACTAGCACTAGCCGCCTTCCACATAACCCATGATGTGGCGCAATTCACAACGCTCCTCCCTTTTCTATGGCTTATCCCTCACAAGTACCTCCTCGCGCCTCCTCCGAGCGCGGTGGTCGCCTCACCTCGATGGTGAGCACGTCACGGGTTGCTGGTCCGGCCGCCTCGTCGGCCTGCAGCACAGGCAGCGCCTCGTGCTTCACCTCTCGGTCGAGGAGGAAGAGGGCGTCAAAGGGCTCACGAAGCGTGTGGCTGGCCAGCAGTCGGTCGCTGCGGACGGACTCGGTCGTCGGCTTGCCGCTCGGCTGCTCTAGGCTCCAGACGCGGCTGCCGCCCGAAAAGTGCGCCGCATTGTGCCGCCGCATCAGCATAACGATGGTGAGCACCGCAGAGTCCTGGTGCACGCCCTCGGGAGACGGATCACCAAGCGCTGTCTCGCTGCGAGTCACGCGGAACGCAGAGAACATTGCATGGAACGAGCCGGTCGCGCCGGCTGCCATGAGCCGATGGACGAGGCGCTGCACGGCCAGCATGACGGTGTTACTATCGGCAGACAGTGGCCACTGCTGGTGCAGCCGGTAGTACGACGCGTTGTCGCCGTTGACTGTCGTCGGGTCGATGTGCTCGACCACATGGCCCGGGAACTCGGGTTCCGTCTCGGCAGTTGAACGCTGTGCGTCGTCGGACCTGCTCGTGTCC